CACACACAAGAAGGCGTATACTTACAATGTAAGATCATGCATAGTTCACAACACAAAAACAGCAAAAACAACCAGACGGTTGTTCGGCTATGGACTTACACTCGCATGCAGAGCACGTCTCTTTTGTCTCATCTGCTCCCAGACTCAGCAGCTGTGATGAACTGGAAACATGTTTCTGTTAAACAAAAAGAGCTGTTATACTGTGCATTGCAGAACAGCAATAGAAAGAAGGAAGGCTATTTTATTGGCCTTTGCTTCCACTGACAGCTGTTCAACATGCTGAAGGGTCTCCTGCAAGAGATGGCATGGGCCAGACTTAAAGGTGTATTGCTAGGTAGTTACAGTAAAATATAGTTATTCACTATCTTTACTGGGAATAAAGTTAATTAAATAAGATTTAATATATTTATTTTATACAAAGTATTAAGAAACAGAAATGTTACTCTATGGATGATTATGTATCTTTAACCTTGCTACAATGTTTTTCTCTACAGGGTAAGAAGGGTCGTCCTGGAGAGGATGGAAGCCCTGGCCCAAAAGGACAAAAGGTGCAGACTTGTATTTATTTTACACAGTTAAAGCACATGCAAACAACGTGGGCTGCATTTCCTTTTTAAACAAAAATTCCCTTTTCACAGGGTGAGAGTGGGCTCGGTGGACTTCCAGGTCGAATTGGAGCAGAGGTGAGCTTAAATCAAGTTGGTAAGGTCAAGGCTAAGTCAAGACTGACAAATTCAGTGTGAAAGCATCTTGATGGATGCTCAATCATCCAGGTAAGTAAATCTCCAAAAGTTGTTTGGAGAATCTCCAAAATTGTTTGGAAAAACTCCAAAAGCTCTTTATAAGATTGGGGAAACCTGCAGTCAGCTGAGACTGAAGAAGTCACTTGGATGAGTGACGAAACGTTTCTCCTGCAAAACGCTACGTCCAGATGAACAGAATCAACTTTTGGAGATCAGTGTGAAAGCCTTAGCATTGCTCTTGCATAAATCACTGTTGTAGAATGAGAAGAATGAAGTATTTTTTTGTTAACTTTATGGCAGCGCTTTTCTCTTTGTCTTTCTCCTCCTGACGTGATGTTTTGTACACACAGGGAAAACCAGGATACAAAGGGGAGAAGGTAATGTATAGATTCTAGTCTCTCTTTATGTCTCTCTCTCTGTCTTCATGGTTATGCAAACTTCCCCATGCTTGTGGGAAACTACAGAATTATATCCTTCGTACATGATATAATACAGTAATACTGGAAATGTGATGCAGTTCAGTTTTGTTTGAGTTTTACAACTTTGTTCAACTATGTTTGATGTCAATCTTGTGTTTACATATTTCCCATTGTACAATAATACAGTTATTCTTGGGAATTACACTCTGTGTCATAAATGTGTCATAGAAAAACCATGGGATAAAAGTCCTAAATTACGCATAATGATGCTATACTAAAGAACTCACCTAACACTTTTTATTCTATCACAGGGAGAGAGGGGGGAGTGTGGCACACCTGGAGTTAAAGGAGACAGAGTATGTTGCAATTTGAATGTTGTGAAACAAATCTTATATGTGTTCAAATATTACAAAGTTGATAAAGCATTGCTTGTGAATATGAAGCTTAACAAATGTCATTTATTACAGGGTCCTGAAGGACCAGTTGGACCAGGAGGAAATCGTGGACTTCAGGTAAATTTGAATTTTATTTCTCTTGGTATCAAATCAACTGTCAAAACATCCCACAATGCACTTAAGAATGATAAAAAAGTGGACAAATTTGTATCATTAAATTGTATAATATTTTTTTTTAATAGTGACTGTTAGTGGTAGGTACACATCAACAGGTGTAGCCTATCCATACAGCCTTAGCATGTTGTTGTTCAGGTCAGTAGGACATCAGGACAGTATTTTTATTTCAAAGATTTCGGTCTATGTTATCCATAATTAATTTACATTAACTTAATGTACTACATCAGTCTACTGCTTACTTATATATAAGTGTGTCACTTACACACTCATTTAACTTTTAGGGCTTATCCGGCCCACCTGGTGATACTGGACCTGAAGGTGTGATGGGCAAAAAAGTAAGTACTCCTCTGTCTCAATGAAGCCAATTGCAGTGGTTGACATGTCTGAAGCTTCCATCTAAAATACTGATAGTATGTAGTGTAGTGTAGCCTCGGTTCACATAATGGGTAGAGATTTGTTTGCTTTTACTTTCTTTTCATCTTTTTTACCCACTACCTGTTTGCAATATTATTTGCAATTTTTTGCCAACATCATCAGTTTTAAACAATTTAATTGTATTTTATTTATATTTCACCAAATCTCAACAACATTTATGCAAAGTGCTTTATATTGTAAGGTAAACACCCTACAATAATACTGAGAAAACTACCCCTATGAGCAACCATTTGGCAAAAGTGGGAAGGAAGAACTCCCTTTTAACAGGAAGAAACCTCCGGCAGAGCCAGGCTCAGGGAAGGGGAGCCATCTGCCGTGTCCAGCTGGAAGTGGGGAGAAGGGGATAGGACAAAAGACATATTGTTGAAGAGAGCCCGACTTTAATAATAACTAATTATTAAATACAAAGTGGTGTATGAACATATAGAGGGTTAAAAGAGGTGAGTAAAGGAGAAACAATCATTGCATCAGAGAAAGCCTCCAGCAGTCTAGGACCATTGCACCATAACTAAAGGAGGATTCAGTGTAATCTGATCCAGCCATGACTATAAGCTTTATCAAAAGCGTAGATGAGAGTACTTGAATGAAGAAGTTTGAATGGGTGGGTAAGTTGTATAAAATGCTTTGAGTTCTCAGACAGAGTAGAAAAGCGCTATGTAAGAATCAGTCCATTTACCATTTACCTCACCTTATCCAGCCCTAACTAAGCTTGATTACAAAGGAAAATTTTAAGCCTTATTCTAAAGGTAAACAGGCTGTCTCATGGGAGTTTGGCCCACAGAAGAGAGATGCTGGACTTAACAGGGAGCCAATGAAGGGAAACCAATGTGGGAGAAATAGGCTCTCTCTTTCTAGTCCCTGTAAGTACTCTTACTGCAGCATTTAGGTTCAACTGAGGGCTTTTCAGTGAATTGTTAGGATATTCTGATAGTCCAGCCTACATTCAATGTATTAACTTGTTTTTCAGTGATTGGCTATTCAGAGTAAGTATCTGGTTAGTGTTGATGCAACCCCACTTTGGTTAATACATCTCCAAATGGATACAGTAGATTTGAGTCATTTTAAGGTGGCTGGATTTAAAGTCACACAATTCATGTGAAATAAAAGGTTAATGTGTTTTATTTATTGTTTTTCTTTAAAAAAAATATTTTCTTGTTACACGCAAAAAATGTGTTGATTTTCTTACTCTTCCAGGTGTGCAATAAGTTAACCACTAACTGACAGGTTTAGCCAGAAGGCAATAATTAATGTGAAGACAGAAAATTGACTAAAAGAAAAACAGTTTATAAGTAAGAGCAGAAAACAAATGTTTGAAAAACATGGCACAGGGAAATTAAAAGTTATGTTAAAAAAATGGGGAAATTACTTAAGAAAAAGAAATGAAATAAAATCGTTAGATGTCCCAATGAAAACACTGATGAGAGTAAAAATTCTCCAAAGAGCACCAGCATCACTGGTTGAGTTGAAGCTTAAGTCACCTGTGTAGGTACACCTATACCTATGCAGGTGTACCTGTCAATTAAAGCAACCATAGATACACCTACAATTTCACTTTAAGCCTGTATCCAAATACTTAATTAAAGCAGTAGTACAGTTGAAGCCAAAATAGTTTTTGTGCCATACTCTAAATAAGGGGCAGCACGGTGGCACGGTGGTTAGCACTGTTGCCTCACAGCAAAAAGGTCCTGAGTTCGATCCACTATCAGTCTTTCTGTGTGGAGTTTGCATGTTTATCCTGTGTTTGCGTGGGTACTCTGGCTTCCTCCCACAGTCCAAAAACATGTAGTTTGTGGGGATAGGTTAATTGAAAAATCTAAATTGCCTGTAGTTCTGAATGGCTGTCTGCAACAGACTGGCGACCTGTCCAGGGTGTACCCTGCCTCTTGCCCTATGACAGCTGGGAAAGGCTCCAGCGACCCTGAGAAGGATAAGCAGAAGCAAACGGATGGACTCTAAATAAGGTTTTTAATGTTGTAACGTTGGACATTTTAACTGGTGAGTCTATCAGGACTCACTCACTTTCAAAGCCACGTTAAGTGGCTTTAGAGGAACTTTATTTTTAAGCAATCAAGCCAGTCCCTACTTTTGTTTGATTGTTGTGTAGAGAATAAAGCATTTTTTACATTTAAGATAGATGCAACTGATTGTGGCAGCCTTTTCACTCCACCTTCCACTGTGGCCCCTGTGGAAGGGCTATAAGTTCATTTGATTTTCAACAAGGCTGCACTACATGTCTTTAGAACTTGTTCCGAGAGTACAAAAGTGAACTAAAGGAGACATAAATCAGACATTCCTTTATATGTGATGGAATTCTCTCTGAGCCAGAGACTGGCCTTTCCCCTTCTCCAGCCAAAATCATTCATCAAAGGTGACCCAAAATCTTAAAAACCAGATGTCTATCTAAAGGATACACTTTTTTTTTAAGCTGGACACATAAAGTTCTCTGAAGTCTGCTTTGGGTTAAGTCTTACATAGCTGTATCAAAGGAGCCTCCAATAATTCTGGTACCTGTGGAGTAGTAGTGGTGAAACATGAAACGCTTTGCTGCATATGGAAGAATGTGACATAAATAAAGTGTTTGATCGTCAGATGCAAAATATCACACGCACAACATTGACATTTAAAATGCAATTTGATTAACTTCATCCAGCGCCGGCATAAATAACATCACAAATGTCAAGTAGCTCTACTAACTGATAACACTGATTCAATGACTATACATTTGAACGCTTTTATTGTGAGTTATGATCCGTCCCTTCTGGAACATTGGAAAGCCCTCTGAAGTAGCTCATCTCTTATTACCTTGTCAGCTTATTTGTCTGTTTCCACTTTTTAAGCCCCCAGTCCCGTGTTATACCTGCCAATTCTGCCATAAGCACACACTCCCCCACCAAGTGTTCCCTCCTTAATTATTTTGGAAGAATGTTCGTGTTGATAGTCTGGCTGTCATCCTATATCACCTGAATGGCAGACTAATGTCTGGCATTAAACATTGTCCCAACTTGCTTGAAAGGGCAACAGAAGAAAAAAAATCTACTGGTATGCGCCTGCTAACATTTCTACAGCCTCTTCACGCCTCTTGCTCGCCCTCCTGTTGCACAGCAAAGCTGTGATTTATGACCTCTGCGTGAATAATTGCATTCTTTAACAATAAAGCTAAAGGAATGAAGGAACCCTGTAGTACTAAGTCCCCTTTAAAAACAGCTGAGAAGGAGAGGAAGCAGAAACATGTATGTTTATGTGGGTGTGGGAAAGAAAGTCAGTCATTTCGGATTTTTTTTGCTAGTTTTTGCTGTTGTTTACAACTGTACGTGCAACTGTTTATGCGCCTTTGTATCCACAAGTCTGTCCCTGCTTGTCTTTTTATAGGGGGAAAGGGGACTTCCTGGGCCACCTGGAATCCAAGGGGAACAAGGGATTGGCCTTCCGGGACCCAAGGTAAAGTCTGCTACCCTATTCTTTTGGAAAATGAAGTTACAAAGGCATAATAATCCACCTGACTCTCACCCTGTATGAGCACTCCTCTCACTTTCTTGCAGGGTGATATTGGTTTCCAGGGGCAACCAGGGCCTCCAGGTCCTCTAGGAATTGGTGAGCCTGGACCACCGGTGAGATAAACTAGCAACTCACACTTCACATTAGCATGATGGCAATGTAATGTCAAAATGCCAAATGTACAATGTAATGGGTATGGAGTAATGATGTCTAGGGGGTACTTAAACTTTTATTTTTTATTTATTTTTGTTTTGTTTCACACATGGTACAGCAGTAATTCATTCCCATACACAACCTTCCTTTCAATTAAAGTAACACCGTTTCTATGCATGAAAAGGAGCAGGAAGAAGAATAAATTCTTATTGATACCTGCCCCCTATCTGTGACAATACAAGTAGGCAACCAAAATTACACTCTGACATTTTATTCTTATAGCAGATTTTAAATTGAGAAACATTTATACAACACTTAAGATGATCACTGAGAGAATTCCAGTTTCTTATGCCTATGACTTTTGGACACATTTGCCTTTGTGTGGTTCGAGCAAACTGGTGCTTGAAATAAAACTTCCTTCTGCCGTCCCCATTTTCTGAACACAATACAAATAAACTTTGTAACTTAAGAGGTAGTGTTTTATTTTTTGCCCTAAACATAATAGTTAAAGTCTGTAATTTCACTACGTCTTCTAGTTTTAATAATTTCGATTTTATAAACAAACTATTAGTGTGTTCTCTATATGTAACATTATGCATAATTCAAAGCGCTCTCTTCTGTAATAAATATAATGGTTTCTGGATACATACATAAATAAATAAATAAAATGCGAGAAGATAGCATTTTTCGCTCTTGGTACCTTCCCCCAAGCAGCTGAAATAGTGAATGGTGAAACAACCTAAGTAACTATGGCAACTAGCTCGCTAAACTGGAGGAGCGCTGTTTTTGGACAAGGCAAAGGAGGCAGAAACAAGAGTAAACCTTGAAAGGTGTGAAAATTTGAAAATTTGAAATAAAGACCATTATGAGCATGTTTAGGAAGGAAAATACCTCTTAGACACATACAGCTTTGCTTCAGCAGTGTATCAAATAGTTTAAAAATTGACCTATTTCTGTATAAATGTGAATGATAGAATCGTTTGACATGTAAAGAAGCGACAGAAGAAAATATGGACAGCCATGCAGAGACATTATATTTTACCTGGAGAGACAATCTAACTTACATTAATTGTACCATTGAGATCAGTGTGACTACAACTCAAAGCAAAGTGCTTGACAGCTGGGATATGCCTCTCTTTTTCCCTTGCAATGTTTTGCACCCTGCATAAGCATTGCAACTTTAGAACAATAATTGCTGAGGGAATAATGTATCTTCTGTACAATACGTTGACCATTTTCTTATAGATTTTGTTACACACTGTGTTTGTGGACAAATGTCTTCAGCCATACAGAATGTGGGCATGTGGTCAGGCGCTGATTTGAGGAATACTTGATCTGGTAATATCAATCTGTCCTGTTAATTTAATTACGGGAACCCAAAATCATGATTAAGATTCAAATGTTATTAATTTTGCGGCCCTAGCTTAACCTAAAACAACAACAACTGCTTGGAGAATTTCTCTTTATAGAAAACTAAGGCTAACATTGTGAGCTGGTTCTAAAAGTCCTATATTTCAGGGCTTTCGATATATATATATATCTCGAAAGCCCTGAAATATATATTATATATATTATGCCTTTGTAAATATATATATATACATA